AACGCCACTGTGGAGATGACCCGGAGGCACATAGGTATGACAGAGATTCACTTGGCTTCCTTTTATGTAGCATCTGGGGACAATGTCCTCTGATAGTTTGAGTTAGCTTTCAATCTGTCACTGGGCTAGTTGAACATATTCACACACGTTGTTTCAAGTCTTTGTTGTACTAGATGAGCAAATATGTTCTGTCTGTTTTTACAGGAAGAGGAGTTAGACTTTACTACATTGGAGGGGAAGTATTTGCCGAGTGCCTGAGTGATAGCGCCATCTTTGTCCAGAGTCCAAACTGCAACCAGCGGTATGGCTGGCATCCGGCAACAGTGTGTAAAATTCCTCCCGGTAAGATGCTGAAAATGTCACCTGTGTAGCAACCAGAGAAACTAGGTGAAATTGGCAGTAAGGTGTCACTGAACAAAATAAAATTATAAACCTGATAATTGCTGGGACTGAATATATGGTGCTCTGAAGGTGATGCTGAAGAAGAACATACTGTATGTGCCCAGCAGATCCACCATACTGTACCCGTAATGAATAAGATCTTTAAAGATGAGCACCATCAACAGTGTTTTTGCAATGAAATAATCCACATCCTCTCAACAGTTTGTAGCTTCCTCCTTTATGGTGGATAAAAGTGGTTCATCCATTTATTTTTTCATTCATCTTGGATTCATATTAGTTACAAAGGACTTCATTAGGGACCCAGAACCATGGCAGAAAAATGTTCACAGCATACGTAGATTCATCTCAAACCTCCTGCTGTACTGACTACTGCTCCACTACTGCACCACTGATCTGTCAGTCTCCTGTCATGTGCTTGTAATGCTGATTTAAATTATGTAGTATATATATTTTTTTTTTTTTTTTAAAGTAGTTGTAAAGTTTTGCTTGAAGGTGAAAAGGAAATAAAAACCCTGTTAAATGAGTGATCTCACGGATTGGCTTGGGTGAACGGCCAATCACCTGCTGGCTCTGATGCTGATTCAGCACGTTCATGCAACCCAACTGTTACAGATTAAGGACAAGTAGAGGCCAGTGAGGGTGAACACACCTCAAAAATTCTGTGTGAAAACTGGCCAGAAGCACAAAGACAGATCAGTGCCAACCAAAAGCCAGATGTCAGTGTGGTGAGTCAAGGCCCTGGGAAAACCCACATTAACTGCTGCCCTGTTTATCTCTTTTAGGTTGTAATCTAAAAATCTTCAACAACCAGGAATTTGCAGCCCTGCTGGCTCAGTCAGTCAACCAGGGCTTTGAGGCGGTCTACCAGCTCACCAGGATGTGCACCATCCGCATGAGCTTTGTCAAAGGCTGGGGAGCCGAGTACAGGTGAGCAGTGCCGGCAAACTATATGTTAACAGTTTTCATTGCAAAAGGGTTCATATCTGTTCAGGTTTAAATTAAACAGATTTTTAAATATGAATAAAACTTACTTCTAATTCTGACAATTTTTAACAGAGTATAATAACTGTTTGTCTGTCTGACATGGAAAATTGAGCTGAAACATTTAGTTAAGGAAATGATTCTGACTGATGCGTCACAAATTCAACTTCAACAGACTTGGTTATACATGATGGTCTTGGAGTGAAGAAGTTTGGCTTCCTCAGTAGTAGCATCATTTTGTTTTTCTTTTTGAGAATGTGTCCTATGTCCTTATTAATGATACCGTAAGATGTTGTCACGTGTGATGCAAATAGTTAAATCCAGGTATGATTCTTGCTGTATGTGAGTTATCATTGAAGATTTATTTTCACATACCTGTCCTTCACAATTGATTTCAAGTAGAGACTTACAAACCACAACATCCTCTTCCTGATTGCACACTGCACATAAGTTTAAGCACAGTGTAGAGCATATTTGGTCCTGTGTGCCAACCATTAAACTGTATGCCTTTGTTTCCCAGGCGGCAGACTGTCACAAGCACTCCTTGCTGGATAGAGCTGCATTTGAACGGCCCCCTGCAGTGGCTGGACAAGGTTCTAACCCAGATGGGTTCCCCGTCTGCACGTTGCTCCAGTATGTCCTAAACAGCTAAGGAAACGCCCAAAAAAAACCACAGCCCATTACAAAGATCATGAAATTCTAAACTTGTGAGTCCTCTCATGAAAAAATGGAAACCCCCACAGAATGAATTTTCTGTAACATACTTCATAGTATTTGTGGCCCGGTTCCACATCCCTCTTTAAACTTTACACACACACACACACACACACAACACACACACACACACAAATGAACAAATGCACCTACACTGCCGCACACACACACACACACACACACATACATATACAGACTTTTCAGTAAAAATTTGGCACTTTGTTACCCATCTATGTCATGCACCTTGTTAAATTGCTTTTCCCCAAATCCTTAATATTAGATCTATTTGTGGTACAAATAAAATGTATATTGGTTTTTAGTCCAGGAAGTAGGGGAAATACCAAAAATATCTGTGAATAGTTTCTCAGTATTGAAGATTGCTTGTATAAGTAACACGAGCTTGAATGCTAAAATGATTTTTGTTCCAACCCACCCCAACCATTGTTCTGAACCTAAGTTTACTTTTCTCTGGGAAACTTGGCCCCATCTTTTGTCAAGGGGGAGGAGGCTTGGTGAAGAAACGATGGCCTTGGTGGCCGTTCTCCTCTGAAGGAAAACGCCACAATGTGTTTTGTGAAATTTGATTGAATTGACTTTGCCAGAACGGCCGTTTTTATAACTCTTGATGTGTGTCTTTATAAGACATACCTCTTAATGGACAAATAGGAATGTTAGTTTAAAAAATAATCAAAAACAACCCAAACAATCTGCAAACTCAGTCTGGCTGTAGTTTATTTCTTTATAATTATACCCATCATCCCCACTGAGCAGCCTGGTGTGGAAGCTAGAGAGATGTTGGCCAGGCTTTGCAGGGTGCACTGGGCAGGGACCAGAGAATATCAGCTGTTATGTAAAAGCTTTTTTTTTTTTTCTTTTCTTTTCTTTTTGACACGACACTGGGAGTCCTGGGGCTCTCCAAGGTGAAGCATTAAACGTCTCACCAGGAGAAATTGAAGGTATCAATAAATTTATTCAGTTTTTAGCCTATATCCCCATTGTTTTGCTACTTTTTTGTATTCTCATGTATTTTTATATATAAATATACTTAAATTTTTCTGTCGTTCACTTTTTATTGAAGTAATATTTTCAAGACCACAGTTGTTTCTAAAGTGACATGGAGGGCATGGATCATTCCTTCATTTTACCCAAAAGGTTCAGTTTGAATTCATTTCCAAATAGCAGCTCTTTGTCTTGGTTAACAAAAAAGAATCACTGCCCCACATGACGTGTAGCCTGTTTCTATCCTTTGTTTTTGCGAAGAAATCTGGTGCATTTAAAGTACACAAAACAACAGATTTGCCTGAAACCCAAAGTCTACTTTCCTGTAATGGTTTTAATGATTCCAGAGGCATGTAAAACTTTGTAATGGCCATTTACTCATTCATCTCTTCACTTTTTTTGAAAAACACACGTGACCTCTTGTAGCCTTTTGGTGCTCAGTCAAGCGGGTTAAGGTCAACCAGATATAATTGGCTATCAAAATGTTACAGAAACATGGGAGGAGAGCGGTTTTCTTCCACGGGAAAAGAAGAGCAAATGTGCCTGCACACTGGGACATTCTGTGTTAATGTGTGTTTTGTATTTGTTCCGTCTATAAAATACAGTATGTACAACAAGACTTATTACCTTAAACTCTGCCATTATTGTCATTACGTGGCTGTTGCGAGTTTAACATGTTTCCCCCCTCCCTTCTTTTTGATGTAAATGTGTTTACCTTATGGCACTAGTGATTGTACTTTAAGTGCACCTAGTGAAGTTTGGATTTGGGGAACTGAACCATGTGTTAGGGTCCAGTGTTACATTGTTTTTATCTTTGGCCTGCAACATATGAATGTGAAAAAATACATTACAAAAACTGACGTGGACCAGACATACATATACATAACAGTAGTACAGTATGTGTGTATTTAACAGTAATCTTTTTGCAAAGCAGTCAGTACAGTAGATGTCGCAGTTGTTTTACCAGTAGAGGGCGGTATTGATAGAGCAGTTCTCTTTTTTTTTTTTTTTCTTTTTTTTTTCTTTTTTTTTTTCCTGACCATAAGCTTCTCAGGCGTGTGGCATATTATGCAGACTTCATAAAACACTAATAAAGATTTTTATTCTCATGATTCATGAGTCTGTTATGTGTGTGTTTTTCCTGATTGCAGCTATTGGGGATATTTATTACTGAAAATATAGATAAATATTGGCAGCAGGTGCTGTATTGGCACAGATTAAGTCTCCACACAAATTGTTGAACTGTCATTAATTCACAAGTGAAAACATGGTGCTTCTGTTACAGTCTTGTGTTACAGAGCCACCATGTGTTCACTTGGTTTAATTTGTTGCACCTTGCACTATAATCCTTTAGTAAACTGATGTTTTAAAGTTTGTGGAGTAGCACAGGTATATGGTGGCTGACATCAGCTACACTCTTTAGCAGCATTTTCAAGTACTGTAGTTCACTACAAACTGGAAGTTCCTCAGTATTTTATTTTTTGTACGCTACATTATACTTTTGGTTCACTGCATTTTGAAGGGAAACATTTACATTTTATTCTGCTAACTACATCTGACTGTTATAGTTGGAGTTAATTAAATTAACTCCACCATGACAGCACCAACATTAAAATGCTATTTGCATGATACTGAATCATTGATAATCCAGTCATATAATTTAATAGGACACTGAAATTTAATATTCAGCAACATATCTACTTTACTTTTGATACTTTATGGTTTACACATTACGTTCTTTGCTTTTGCTTATCTTAATTTTACATTTTGAATGCAGGAATATCCATTGAAACTTAGTCGTTTTTTACATTGTGATATTACTATTTTTTACTCCAGTTTTAACTGCACCTCGGTATGTGTGTATATGAGAAGCGCAAAGGTTTGTCCTTTCTCAGCCACCGTAGGCTACGTCATAAATAAATACTGTCAGCTATCTCACAGCTAGGAACTTGAAGAGGCAACATGGCATTTACTTTATATTCTCTCATTCAAGCAGCAATTCTCTGTGTCAATGCTGTCGCTGTGCTGCACGAAGAAAGATTTCTCAGTAAAAGTAAGTGGCTGAAGTCAGAACTGTTTGCGCCCTTAGGTATCATCTGAAAGTCGAAATTGGGTTAGCCGTTGGGCTGGCTAATGCTAACTACTTTGTAACTTCACAGCAAGAACAAATGGAAACATTTCGAATTTATCACTGAAGATTGACGTCGATCAAAGTTGTTGTACCAGCTTCTAATGAAAAGCTAAAACGGTGACAAAGAACCTCTTTCCGCTGTATGAATCCAATGAACATTTGTTAGTTTCCTACAACTTTATTGACAAAACCAACAATCACCAACAATCAGACATTACAGAGTTCCCTGAAGGTGTGAAATATAATTACTGGTATAACGACAAATTGTGTGTGTGTGTGTGTGTGTGTGTGTGTGTGTGTGTGTGTGTGTGTGTGTGTGTGTGATCCATATCAGTTGGCTGGGGAGTGGACCAAAGTGTCGGTGGATTTGGAGATGAACCAGGCGTCAGAGTGCAGCTGATGAACCTTGTCCGCTCTGTGAGGACGGTGATGAGAGGTGGGTGTCCACTGCAGGTATACACAGACAATTTTTTTTAATGATGAGTGACATAAAAAAAAACGTCCAGTGACACTTTCTCATACCAAGCTTGTCTGTCTTGCCCTGCAGTGCCGTTGATCGCCGTCAATTCAGTCTGCATCGTGCTGCTGCTTCTGTTTGGGTGAAGTGAAGTGAGAGAAGATGTCAGGAGAACATCTGCATCAACTCAGGAACTATTTAATCTCTCTGACACACGGAATGTCTCCTGTCAGCCTGTGTATGAATGTTGTCATTTGATATTCCACATTAAGACGTGAAACATTTGTTAAGGCCTTTATACAGCACAGAAATTCAAAATAATTAAGTCCAGTTATTTAGAATGGTTAACTTCCCTCTATTTTGACTAGTGATAGAATTACACGTCAGTGTTTTGTTTTTGGAAAAACTTAAATAAGCACTGAAAATATATCAATGAAGACCCAAATACCAATTATAACTACTTATGGAGTGACCGACTGTAAAATGTTTGTGAATATGTATTACGTGGTGTCATACAATAAAGAATTTTTAACTTTTCAACTGGTGCGCTAACGAGCTTCATGTCTTAAAATAGTCGAATCGGTATTGTTTGTCCCAGCGCGCTCGCCGTAGAGGGCTGACCGATGGTTCTGACATATATGTGTGCTAATGCCTCTTAAACTCGCTGTGTTGCATTATGAACTTCATTTAAGCAAAAATGGGAAATGTGCAGAGTTACGGCGTTGCCTCGCTCGCTGTATGTTCAGTGTATTTAGTTGTTGACATTTACTGTTCTCACAAGTTGCTGAAAACAAATGTTCTCACCAGCGACAAACTTCCAAGTTTCTCGTACCTCTACATCAAATATTTGTTCAGAGCTCTGACTCGGAGAACAGGACACCTTCACACAACGAAATCAAAGAGGAATGAAGCTGTTTATACGATCCTCAAGTGCAGGTGAGTGTCGTCCACTCCCATTTAAATGTTATTGAGAAACCGCGTTAAACTGAATCAGTGTGTCTGTCTTTCTGAGGCTGGAGACTCTAGTGTTGAGGAGGTTCTGCAGCGCAGGAGGTTATGGTTGGGATTATCCAGACACTGAACACAGTGACATCCCACTGTGCTTCCCTGAGTTTCTGTGTGGCAGACTGATGCTGATGCTGCTCACTGATGAAAACTTCAGGCTCAGCCCTGCAGGTAACACTTCCATTAAGAATACCTGATGTACAGGTCTGGATGTTTCAGTGTTTGGTGTGACCAGCCTTTGCTTCAATGCTGCAGAATGAATTTGGCACCAATCAGACACCTTCCTGCTGCTATTGTGTAATGGATAAGAATCTCAAAGGTCCCATTTATTATAAAGGTAGATGTCCATGTGTTATTTGATCATAAAGCAGGTCTAGGTTCTATATTAATACTGTGAAAGTATCAAAGTGCTCAGTCCACAGAGAAATGCACACAGCCTGTATTCAGAAACTGAGCCTTAAACCAAACAGTCAGGACTTCTGTAACTTTGTGATGTCACAACCACAGACCGCAGCAGTTTTAAAGCTCAGAGCGGGTCGTTCTGTCGTTGCTAACTTGCCAGTACCTGAGTCTACCAAACGCCTGGCTAGTACAAAAATGGGCAGAGAGGAGCGCCAAGTGTCGAGCCGAGACTTCGGTGCATGCCGGCTTGTGGCAGGCATAGCCCACCCCCCGCCTGTCACTCAAAGCGGCACGCCCTCAGTTCTCCATAACTTTAAGCCTTAATAAAATGTTAATAGGTGAGTTATATAAACAGTTGTCATGAAGGAGGAAATAAGCCATAGAGACCAAAACAGTTTTTTTTTACCAGGCTGTAAATGTGTTAATTTCTGCTGTAAAGTTGGACATTTTAACATGGGAGTCTATGGGGATTGACTCGCTTTTAGAGCCAGACTCAAGCGGCTGGTCGCAGAAGTGCAGTTTTTAGCACTTCTGTGTTGCTTCATTTTTGGTCACAACAAAGCAGTCACTGCTCTCAGCCATGCCCCATGTCCCACCTGGACCCACCATCCAACCTTGCAGGATTTGGTTTCTCTGAGTGTTCTCTATGGCTCAGAGCCTCCTCTCTTCTGATTGGCTCATATCTTCTAATGGATCAACACTTCAAATAAAACACAGCAAAACAAAAGTGTCTGACCAATATCATCTAGTGTGTGACAGAACCAAAATGTGAGTGATTAAAGTGCCTTCAGCCATTTTGCTTCTGTCACAATGAGTGTGTAATCTGGACGTGGAATAGTGTAGTCGGTGAGCAACTTCAACCCTTATCCGCTGGTATCACATAAACACAGATACCAGCCCATCGTCTGGGGTCAGGCAGGGAGGGGGCGTTACTGTGTCAAAAGGTGAACATAGCCCTGGTATGGTTTCAGAGTCAGAGTGTCTGATCTGTAGATAGCAAAAGAAATGTGAGTTGTAACACTCAAGTTTATGCCTAAATTGATCAAACCAGATAGTTTTTTGAATATTTCTCTTGCATGTATTTTTGCAGATGTCTCATCCACCCAGAACAAACATAAAATACATTAGTCCAATATGTTTAGTTTATACCCAATGCCCTGATTCTCGTGTTTCATTGGTGTGCTTATAATAAGAGGTGAGGAAATAGTGGTGACATGATAGTAATTGTGAATTATTACTTCTGCAGGTCTGGTTCGTGTGTGCCAGAGTTTGAAAACACTTCAGCCAATTGATGAGCTGAAGAAGGGTCCGTTCACACTGCAGGTCAGAGTCCTGGTGTACCGGCAAGTTGATGCAGGAGTGGAGGTGGACATCTGTCTGTCTGCCACTTCTCGTTCCGGATGCCCAGTGTGGGAGAGCGTCCTGACACTGCTGTCCAAAAACAAGCTCCACAGAGCCAGCAGAGGCTTAACAAAGACTCACAGTGAGAGTGAGTATTTCTGCTAAAGAATGTTTTTAGGTTTTCATGTTTATCCACACAGAGATGAGGCTCACCCAATCACCATAACATACATGGGTGCATATGTGTCCTTGTTCTAACAGGCCAATGTGATGAGCCTGTGCCAGAAAACATGAAGCAGGGAGAGCTCAGAGTCCCCTGGAGTCCCCGGCTGCAGTGTGTATGGTCCCTCTCTGACTGCTCCCTCTACCGGCTCCTCTCTCTACCGGCCAGGCTCTTTGGCCGCAGGTCGCACACTGCACCAGGTCTCTGGATGCTGTCGGTCTGCTTGGCTGAAATAGAGAAACACAAAGGTGCCCACATTAATGTGAAAAGACAAAAATGTTTGTGTTGAGATATTTTTTTACTTAGACCGTGTCATTGTGTCGTCAGGGGTCGAGGTCATCACAGCTCCAGTAAACGTCACCGCCCGGTTTGAGGAGCCTCTGTTGGTACCAGGTAAAGTGGTGATCAGGTTTTGGGAGAAGACTGAAAACGGGGGTCAGTCTTCCGCCCAAGGCCTCAGCTTCCACATGCAGCAACATGAAACAAACAGATCTCACCTGGTGGGGCTGATTTCTAGATTAACATGATCATTAAACATCATCAAGTGTTGATATTTTGTAGTGTTGTCAACACAATAAAATGTAAATATTTTACTGTTTCCATTTACCTCTGTTTCAATGTGGAAGTCACAGCATTTCAGTAAGTGCAACGAGGCTGATCTGGAGAATCCGCTTATCACTGTTCACCATCAAGCATTTTTTCATATGAAAATAAAACATTGTAGGGTTAATTTCCTTTTTTCAAAAGTTGAATGACACATTTTTTCATAACAGCGTGTATTAATAGATGTATCTGCCTCTGAGCCTCTTTTATTGTTAAAGGTGTTTTCAGCTTCATTGAATGCGCCACTGTAATACCTCTGATAATGTTAGAGTATTATTCACAGACACGGCTGATTTCATTTAAATATAATCAGTACATTTGACAGTTTTAAAAGAGCCTTGTCATTGAATAAAACAGACTTTTGTATAAGACTTACCTGTAATAAACTTGTCCATGTGAGGACCTCATTTAAATACAATCTGAATCAGTTTTTTGATTGTTTTCTTCAATGAGACTTTAGACAAATTACAACAGAAATGTAAACTGACGCGCAGACACACATCACGCAAATCAACATCAAATGGGTGGAGAAACCTGCTCACTCACGCACACTCTGATACAAGCTTTTATTTTAGATCCTAGAGTCTGTAGTTGCTTTTTGTTGTGTAATGGAGATATATTGATGTTGGAAGCTTTTTTGGCAACGTCTATGGACTGTACAGCTGTTTCATGTTGATTGCATCAGTGTTGTGAGTTTGCAGTTTTACCATTTTTTATTTAATCCATCACAGTGAACATTTAGAGACTCATCCATCTGACTGTTAGACCTACACATGAACCAGTATCTACAGCAAAGGACATCAAAATACTAACGGCCATGTTTTCTGGTTACATACACAGTGGGGTCTAAAAGTCTGAGACCACTTTACCACGAATGGGAAATGTATTTTTGAACTATGTGTAAAGCTAGGCTAACTGCTAACTGTTTCCCCCCGCTTTGAGTCTTTATGCTAAGCTAAGCTAATTACGTGCTATTGCTCCATATTTACTGTACAGACATGAGAGTGCTATTGATTTTCTGACTGAAATAGAGCGAAAAAGTGTATTTCCCACAATGTTGAACTATTGCCTCAATTCTGGCCTATTTACATTCAGGAGTATCAGTTACTAGGAACACTGTCATTGTGCTGTTATTGTGTTCAGAGAGAATAATGATACATCGGAGAAACAATTTGAATTTAAAGATTTCTGCTTCATTTTATCAGCAGGACTTTGTGCTGTAGGTTTCATAGATGTACTGAACATGAGCACTTTGTCAGATGCCATGTCTACCCGATGCCAATACATGGCTAATGCAGACCTCATCCCCACAGGGCATGACAACTTTTCAATATTTGATCCCTTCCATATCCCTGTTTGCAGCTTTCATGTATGTGCAGCTCTGTCCTCCTGTATTATTTATGGGAACACATTCAGTGCATGGGACTGAGAGAAGTGGCTTTTCATGCATCCCTGCACCACAGCAACATTTCAGAGAGGAAGCGTGGAGATAGTTTCCAGCATGTGTACAAGAGGAGGAGAAAAGACTGAAGGTTTAATCTGTCTAAATCTCTTTGAAGAGACAGCACTTTATTTTCACACTCATACATTTTTTGGTACCATATGTAAATATGTGTATTTCCTGGTATGTTACCTTTTTGTTCTCCTGCTTTTCCTTCTCATGTAATGAGAACAGTTCTCCTAAAGTGGATGTCTTTATATGCTGTAGATACTGATGGTTTCTAGGTGTTCATTTGTGCAACTGTGTAAATGTGGACATCATTCTGTCAGAAAATCACATAGTACAACAAAAGCCTGCATAACAAAAGGGAGGGAGGCATTATTGCTGATGTAATTACAATCAGTGGAAGGTCCCGTGACTGCCTCCCTGCACACACACACACTGAGCACAGTTGTAGTGCAGGGTGAGGGGAGGGTGTGTGTGTGAAGAATCTCTGTTTATAGACATCCAGGTGGAGGAGGAATCAGTTTCAGCAGCTGCACTGGAGATCAGCGGGACGCACTCTGGGTCATCCCACCTCTGCCATGTGATTCTCATTACAGAGACTTCTGGGGAGCAGGGTTCAGCTGTGGAAGGCTTGAGGTAAAGGCATTTTTCAAATACTTGAATTTTAAATGTTTCTTTCACGAAAAATAGAGATTTCTGCACGTTTGATCCTGCAGCTGTTCATGTTAAATCACTTCTGTGATTCATATATAGTCTCGTTGGTGTATAGGACAGTGTAACTCCTGTATAGTGCTGTTAGCTGGGAGCAGTGACACTCACTAGCTAAATACTGCTCTAGAAAGGAGACTTTTAAATGATATGCTTCAAACTGTGGTCGGCCATGAAGTTAGTTATAATGAGGTGAATGTTGGGTCTTTGACAGGGTTAATTGAAGATATTAAAGCTGGATGACAGACATGATGTAAATAAATACTGTTTTGAGGTCAACTATATCTACTTGAGATTATTATATTATCATTATTATTATTATTATTATGTAATTTTTCCTTGTCCTGCTAGTATACGTTCCTTCTGCCACAGTAAAAGCTGCTGTCAGCCTCTCATAGTTGAGTAGCTGAGACAAAAGAGCCACCAACCAAGCGCAAATTAAAGCAGTAGTGCAATGAGTGGGTTTAAATCGTATCTATTTTTCATCTGTTGTTGTTCAGTCACCACCACAAGTCGGAGTGGAGCACGCTGACAGCCGCTTGAACATGTACATTGCTGTTATTATTCATTTATAGAGTCCCGATTCTGTCATGCATATGAATCAGTCGAGTGTAAGAGGGTCAGTCTGTGAAGCTCCTATACAGAGCACAGTGCATTTAGCAACTAAAGACTTAAAATGGAAACCCTCCTCATAAAGAAGTCTCTTAATCATGGACTTACTGTAAAGATCTAATTTATCTTGACTATATATGCCAAATGTGTTCTTTTAAAACTGTAGCATCAAACTATCAAGCTACTTCCTTGTGCTGCTGCTAATATTTAGCTAGTGGCTAATTTTGACACTGTGCACCTTTAAAGCACCTGACATTCAGCCTGAGCCAAGGTCTGAAGGGTGATGCATTCTTCACCTCATCTGAAACGCTGTTTCTGTGTGGAGATGGGAAGGGTGTGTGTGTGTGTGTGTGTGTGTGTTCTAGAGAGATGAAACACACACATACACACTCCTTTGAGTAGAGCACTTTAGAGGAGTTCATCTGTTTCCTTCTTCAAAGAGCTGATCCTCGGGGAATTTAAGTTATTTTTTGCTTCTTTTAAAAGTACCAGCTTCATTTATTTATTCAGAGAGACCAATACTAAATGACAGCTTGTTCTCTCTTACTGGTCCACTATTGTTCATAAAAACAACTCCACTGCACTTATTATTACCTGCCCTAGTTGCCGTGCTAATTAGAGATGTGAGCAATATTAATACTGCATTATGATAACATGTATACTACATGGAAGGATTTCTGAATGGGCCTACCAGCCACATTCCCGCAGTTCAGGGGCCAGAGCCTCTGTTTGAAGTAACATGTCTTGTTGGAAAATAAACCAATCAACCAACAACCAGAGATTAACGGACTATGATGAGATGCAAAACCACAAAGAAACACTCCACAACTACAAAGAGACACTACATGACTACAAAGAGACATTAAATGACTGCAAAGAGACTCTACACGGCTACAATGAGACATTTCAGGACTACTAGAAAGTGAGACAAAATGATCACAGAGACATAAAACAACCAGAAAGACACATAAAGAAAAAGTTAAAGAAAAACTCTGAATAAATGAGAAGAGAAACAAAACAAATATAAATACAGGCCATACCGGTCTCACTGAATGGTTTGATGACAAGGAAAATCATAAGATCTCAAACCAGCTGATCGCCAAATCAGGAAGTATGTCAGGAGTTTGTCCCTCCAGTATATACCCAGAGACCATGAGAGTATATGACAAGGAGCACTTAAGTGTTCTGGCTCATGCTGACGATCATTAAGTTTTGCAGGTCTGATGATCGTGCTGGATTAATTACACATGAATGAATCCGTGCAGCAAATTTCATGGCAACTATACAATAGTTATGAAAACATTTCACTCAGAACCACAAGTGTGAACCTCATGGTGGCACTGGAGGAGGAGATGGATCATAGCTAAAGGCGAACCCATCCGACAGATGTTGAGACATATTCTCAGAGACACAGATATTTTCTACTGTACTAACTCTGTACTCTGTACTCTGCTTAGTTTGTTAGTCTCAAATTGCAGCAGAATAGAAGGAACTGGTAAATTAAATAGTATATACTGATGCTTTAAACGTTTAGGACTAGTATCAGGTCCAAAACTCGAGCTTAGTATCCCACAGTCGACACAGTAAGGCAGTAGTTTTCTATCTCCACTGACTAACCTACAACCTTTGAGGTCGAGAACGAGCTTTCACATGAGATTTCTTGTTTTGTTTCACTGCAGCAAGTGAAAATACATGAAGAGGCAAGGAAAGGGCGACACTGCCAGCATCCCTCTGTCTTCTCCAACAGGGAGCAGCAGTGTGCAGGTCTACCATGACTACCAGAAGGTGGCTTTTAAGATGTACCCTGGGAATGGCTATGCCACAGAGAACGGCTCCCACAACAGGAGAGACCAGGTCACCAGCCGGATGCCAGACATCATCTCTGACAGCCAGGAGCAGAAGTACAGCATGAAGGAGGAGAGTGTGAACAGGAACTCCACATGGACGATGGATTCGAGCAGCCAGGCCTACTCAGGGCCAGAAGACAACTCCACGGACCCACACGAGACCCTGACAGAGACTTCAACTCTGACCTTCGTGGACGCCCACATCATGGAGGACTCGGCAGAGAACCACAGTCTCCATGGGGTGGGGATGGTTTACCTCAAAGAGTTTGTGCTCATCGACGACGATGATGATGGAGACATGTCGCTGAGGGAGAAAACAGTGACAGACTTGTCCGTCATGGATGGAAAAGCAGCTGACCTGGTGTGTGGGAGGCTGTTGTCCACCTCCAGCGGCTCACTGTCAGAGTGTAAGGAGGAATCTCCGGCTCCTGAAGCACCTCCTCCACCCGAGGAGGTTCAGACTGCACACGAAAAGAAACGCTGCTGTTTCTGCACCATTTTATGACCCTGCAGGAGGTCGCGGGTTTGACATCTTCCAACATCAGGACTGTGAAGCCATCCAAAGAGACCACTGTGCTGAGCGTTTACATGTGTTCCTGTTGAAGCACAGGGCATATTTAAAGCTATGACGACATACAGTAGGAGACGTGTGAAAACTTTTATTCAGATTTTCTGATGATGCTTTTACAGAGAAGTTTTATTATTTTTGTCTGAAACATCTGCCAGTGACGTGTTTCAGTAAAATCACCTGTTGGATTCACATTTAAGTTAAGATAATCATTTTCAAGTTTAACAAACATATCTCTGACGTCTATGATAACGCTTTCATATACGGAAAAATGCATGTCCCTGTAATATTTGATCTGAATGACAGCCTTTGTGATACTTACATAAAAGGTCTTGAAAGATCGGGTGCTAACATCAAATAAAGGAAACTCCAATTACCAGATTTTGTGTGTAGTTAGATTATTTGTTTAGCCATGGGATGTGGAATAACTCTGTCCACAACATTACTGTAAAATATAATAATGATAAGAATGTACAATGATTGTATCATGAAGCTAAAGTGTTATGTAATGAGTGGGTCCAGCAATCTTTGTTCAGGTTTAACTGGATCCTGCATTTATAGGTACACGGCAGAGTTGTTGACCTCTAGTTGCACTATGGAGTAATGCTTCTATGGGCAGGTTGTCACTCATTGCCCAAATGCAATGAATGCAATGTCAGTACTGGTGCTATGCTATTCCACGGATCAACAGCTGGTGGCGCTAACACGCAAAGAAGAGAAGCAATCAACCAACGATTTTAAATATTCAAAATATCAGTTTTGTTTTATGAGGAAGGAAAATACGTTTAACATGTTTGTCAAACCTCAAAGAGAGGTTACAAACAATGTGTTTGGTGAGGGTCACAACCCGGGACCACACACTAAACATGCTGTATGTTTTTAGTTCTTTTACATAACTAAAGGGGGACGTGAACATAAAAACAAACTAAATGCAACAAAGCAACAGGGTGGGAGCCAGGGGAGAGAGAGGGGCCAACTGAGCTGAATCTCCCTGATGACCCTTTGTTTCACAGCACTCCTTTAAGAAAATCCCAAATCCATGTGAAGCCTGACTTCTTCTGGGGAAAGCAGGACTGAACTGTGACTGACGACCTGCACCACACGATTTCGCTTTGAGGCTGGTTCACACTTTCAAGTCATGAGATGTAACAGATTTTAGACAAAATCCTGTGTTGCAGAGGAGGAGATGCATTTCAGGTCTATGAGGTACAGCGATAGGTCAAGCTTTCATTAGCTAATTGGAATCAGCTGTTTCATTCATGCCTTCTCAATCACTGGCTCGTTCAAAGATGTGTGGCAACCAGCTGAGCCGTAAACCTCCAATCATATTCATGTAGGGGACAGAACGGCCATTATAACCTGGAACATTTCACTGTCACACTGCGTCTGTATGTGCTCTAGTTTTGGTATGTTGGTAATAATAATAATGTTCATATATGATTTTATTAAAGAGTATAATTCTTCAAACAATACTCATGTTGCCGTGTTTGAGAGCTTCTTCGAAGAGCAGAGATTTGATCTAACTCTACAATCAGCTGCTATAAATAGATCAGTTTCTAGGAGCGTTTCTAACTGAAATAGTAAACACAAATATAAAGAGCAGGAATAGACACAGTGCAGGATGAATAACCTTAGCTCCCTGAAACAACTTGTGTTTACACTGTATCCTGTCCGGTTCTGGTCATATTCGGGTCCACACAAAGACATACCCTCTAGTCTGGTCTTGGATTTGGAGGCTGGCTGCTCTGAGGATCACACCAGGGTTAATCAGTCCAGTCCAGAAGGCACTGGTGTGAGGCGGCAGCTTGCTGGTTTGAGTGACAGTGAGACCCCAGTTAGGACCCTGCTGGGCAGAGAGATAGCAGCTCAGCAGACTTATCTCCCCCTCCCACGACACACCAACTGACATCCCCCCAGCACCAATACAGACCCTGTGGTAGGACGAAGGAGGACTTAAAGCACCAGTTATATGTTTGTGGGTTATAATAAAGGATTAATTGAGCCACTTTAATCATTAATTGATACATTAAAAAAGTATTTTAAATGCATTGGACAAAGGTTAAGCTGCAGCATGATGTTCACTAAATGCGGTCTACAATAGCAGTGCCATTCATTAATATTAAGTTGTATTTAATAGTAGTGTCTACATCATGTAAATTAAGAGCCTTACCTAGCTGTCATTTTTTACACACATAGTAATGGTGAGTTTAATGTGTTTCTGAATGACACAGTTATTTATTAATAAATGTTTGTGAAGGGGCATCCAGCACTTTCATCAGGCTAAATATAGCCGTTATCAGCCCAGCAACATGAGTGTGCGGTTGAGCAGAGTGAGCACTGAGTGTGTCATCAACACAACTGACTGACTGACTGTCAGAGAGCGACAGATGAAGCCACAAAAACCACAGGCTGCTGGAAAACCATTGAGAAAACAAGCCATTTGTCCCAGTGACCCGAGCTCACCCACTCACAGAGTCCTCCCAGTCCTGGTTATCAAGCACGCTCAGCGTCACCGTGGTCCACGAGACGGAAGCGAAGAATGAAAAGAGGAAGATGAGGATGAGGAGGCCGAGTGCGTAGTGAAGTAAAGAGGAGGACAGGACGACTCACAGACGACTGAGCAGAGAAACAGAACAATGATCGTGGTGTTTCTGCTCTGTGTCTTTGCAGGTAAAAATACAGATGACAATTTTCCTCCCATCACTCCCATTTGGTTCCTATTCATTCACTGGGGAATGGTGGAAGAGACTGACTGACTGGTGCTCTCTCTGTCCTCTCAGGTGTGCCAACAGCAGGCCAAACTCTGGATGTGTGTGCCACCTGCCACGTTAACGCCAGATGTGATGACAAGGCAGACGGCTCAGGCAAAGTTTGTAACTGCAAGTACGGGTTTGTTGGAAATGGAAGAACATACTGTCAAGGTAGGAAGGAATGTCATTTTGTCTTTGTTTAATTATCATGTCAAGTACGTCTCTTCTTCTCAACCTCTAATTTTTTAAACAGTTTTTAAAGATTTCATTGAAAAGTTATTCAAGGGAGTTATATTACATTATATTATATTATATTATATTATATTATATCATATCATATCATATCATATCATATCATATCATATCATATTATATTATATTATATTATATTATATTATATTATATTATATTATATTATTATAACACTCCTTAATACTGCTCTAATTCATATTTGATATTAACAATGACTCACAGTGGTTTTGGTTCAGTATCCACATTAGTGTTTCAAGAGGCAACAAACAGCCAGGTTTTCTTGGGGGTGGGGATGTTTTCAGCAAAAAAGTTCGACCACCGGTTTACCACCTGCTCCACACCAAACAATACACATGCAAAAGTTAGTGACTACCTGGTGAACATGGTGGAGCATTTAGCAGCTAAAGATCCAGAAACTTCCCATTGGAGTCGGTGCACAGACACAATTACGACAAACAACACAACTTTGTTTGCTAATGTGTTCAACATATCAATTTTTTAAGGTGATGTCAATGTTGCGTTTACAGCTTGTTTCCAAAGGGGCCAAAACAAGAGCCTACAGGATCCATCATCTAGGAACCATGAAAACTTTCATGGCAGTCCATCTCATAGCTGTTATAGATTTTTGTTGTTAGATATTTCTGCACCAAAGTGGCAGATTGACAGTCCGACATTGCCATCCCTCAAACTATGCCACTTGCATAAGTAAAAATCAATGATACAGCTTAAGGACAAAGAGGAAAATGTTTCAGCTCCTTCTCTTCTAAGTTTAAATATAATAAATGTTTTTGTTTTCTTCCAGATAAAGATGAGTGTCAGATAGGAGCCAGTAGGATCTGTGGGCAGCACACCACATGCCACAACACATATGGCAGCTACTTCTGTAAGTGCCTGTCTGGCTACAGCCCTTCTAACAACATGGACGTCTTCATCCCAAATGATGGAACCCACTGCCAGGGTGAGTGTAGGCTGGAGCTTTTTACAGGGCTGTTAAAGGCACGGGCCAAAACCTGTACAGTGTGACCTCCAGAGGGGAGCCACAACAGGTGAAACATAAATACACCCATAGAGTCTCACAGACATGATGTGATGCATTTTGTTATGATTTTACAACAGTCCTTCAAAAGCTTACAACTGAATGTAAATGATTTACAGGCTCTAGTTATTATCAAAAGATACGCATAATCTTTTAAATAAATCTTTGCAGTGCGGTGACTCTTTCTGAAATGAGTGTTTGGACCTTTACAAAATGGATGACTTTAGTGTCTTTAATTCACGTACTCTCGTTGGCTCTGCAGACATTGACGAGTGTAGGATCTCAGGGCAGTGTGGAGAGGGAGGTCAGTGCAGGAACATGGAGGGCAGCTTTGAGTGCAGCTGTCAGCTGGGATACCGAGTCCACAATGGAGCCGAGCCTTTTCATCCTGACACAGACAAGGCTTCCTGCAAAGGTAAAACTGCACTAATGGCATTATACGTTATATATCATAGTGTCAAACTATGTGAACTCTTTGGAATGACCTGGTTTTTTGCATTAACTGATCATAAAATGTGATCTGATCTTCATCTAAGTCACAGGTGTAGACAAACACAATGTGCTTGAGCTAATAACATGGAAACTATGGACTCTTTCGAGTGAACACAGCCATCAAGCGTTCACGTGGCTGGTGGGTAAAGTAAGTAAATGTTAACGTTCAGGAGGAATTTTTGACCATTCTTCCCACAGAACAGCTTCAGCTCAGACGTATGACATAGGATTTCTGTTGTGAGCAGCTCTCTTCAGGTCATTTCACAGCATCTCTACTGGATTAAGGTCTGACTCGGTCACTCCAAAGGTGGATTTTCATTCTGTAGCATATTTACTTTGACGTTTAGGGTTAGTTGTTCTGCTGCATCACTCAGCTTCTCCTGAGCTTCAGCAGGTGAACAGCCACCCTGACATTACCCTGTAGGATTCCTTGATAAACTTAGGAATTCATTTTCCTGTCGATGATGTCGAGCAGGTCCAGACACAGCAAAGCCTCAATTCATGATGCTCCCTCCACCCATCTTCACCTTTGGGATGATGCTTTCATGTTGTTTTTTTACACCACAGTCACAGTACTAAATCAGCGGACTGATGAATATCTAAACTCTTTTAGACTTTATAATCCTCCTACTGCTTTATGCAAATCAACAGTTTTTGATCCTAAGTCTCCTGAGATGTCTTTTTTCTTCTTTGCAACATCAAACTCTAAACGTTTTAAAATTCAAAGATCTAACCCAAACCTCCAATATTGTTCCATGAACTAGACTCCAATTAGCTTTTGTCATTAGCCAAGGAATTCACATACCAATGTAAACTTTGACTGTTGAATTATGTTTTCAAAACACAATCATTTGTGTGTTATTAGTTAAAATAAATTGTGTTTGTTTATAATTGTAACTTAGATGAAGATCTGACCATATTTTAAGACAAACTTATACATAAATGCAGATAATTACAAAGGGTTCACTTACTTTTTCTTGTCCTGAATGTGGAAAAGCTGGATCTAAAATCGAGTGTTTTATGTTCTGGCCTCACTCAGTGGTTGACTGTGGCCAGCCTGCCTCAGTGGAGGACACGGTGCTGCTGTCCTTCACAGGAACCACATACGGCAGCGAAGCCACATTTGTCTGTGATGAAGGCTTCATTTGGGTGAGTGGAGACAACATCTCTGTGTGTGGAGCTAATGGACTGTGGAGAGGATCAACTATAGTCTGTGAAGGTAACAAAAAATTCTTTTAGATAAAGTCTCTCTCTCCATAGCTTCCTCTTCTCACGCTAACCCTTCATGGTCAGTCATCAGGACACGGAGATTGAACTTTGCTTTCTCTAAGCTTTGGGGCTCATAACATTCATCATCCACAAAGGAGTGTGTATTTGATTGTTTTTGCTTTTCTGGGTTTCGTGACAGTCATTTAAATGCCTCTAAGGTAAAGGTGAAATACATAACATTATGTGATCTTAAATCTATACCTTTATAAACTGTCAGTAAACTGTCAAACTGTCAATAATAATCATATGTAATATCTTTAGCCGTGCTAGTGGCCTCTGTCTATGGATGACAGTGTCTGTGCAACACTTTATTCCAGACTCCATCAAATATCTCAACAGGCGTTCGATGGACTGCCACGACATTTGGTGAACTGTGACATCAGGATGAACTGTGAATACTTAAATGATCTCTTAACTTTAAATCTTGTGTCATTATCAGGTCATACTTGTAATTTGTCTACTTTGGTTCATGACCAAACACCTGCAAAACTAATGTCCATCAGCTTCAGCTGGACTTAAGTTCTTATAAGCAAATGTTAGCATGCTAACATGCTAAACTAAGATAAAGAACCTGGAAAACATTACACCTGACAAACATCAGCATGTTAGCATCGCCATTGGGAATTAGTATTTAGTTCAGTGCAGGGCTGTGCCTGAGTACAGCCTCACTGAGCTGCTAGCATGGCTGTAGACTCATGACTTACTTCATGCAGCGTGTCACTTTGGTTCTCAGAGGTTGACTGTGGCTCGCCCCCTGCCCTCCCTCACTCACATATGCTGTGGAATAAGAGTTCAAGGATTGGCACTGAGGTGGTTTATCAGTGTAACTCTGGCTATCATAATGTTGGAAAGGGAAATGTCTCCATTTGTACTGCTGCTGGACAGTGGGAAGAGCCGCCTGTGCTCTGCCAAGGTACAGTCACAGCTCTATCATTTCATTTTAGAGGTTTGCCAAACAGATATTGTGTCTTTCTCCTTCTGTTTACGTTTTAAATTTCCTGAAACTAAAGTGAATGAATCTGAATTCCAGTGTACAAGTTTGTGGTGTATGTTGTTCCTTGTAGAGACTTTGTGTGGAAGTCCTCCTGTAAGTGAATCCACTGAGCGTGTGTGGAACGGTAACACGGCTCCTGGCAGCACCGTGTTCTACTTCTGTAAAAAAGGCTTTTTTAGCAAAGGAGGACATAATGTATCAGTCTGTAATGAAAACGGTCAGTGGACACCCCCAGCTCTGTCATGTCAAGGTAATTCAATCAGTGTATGAGACAGATGAAACTGTGTTTTTACTTATCCTGTCTGAATAGTGTGTACATGCCCACACAGTCCACAGTCAGCATAAGTGAAATGCGTAATAAGTGTTGAATGGAGTGGATGTGGAATTGTTAAGAATTTACTCGAAATGTTTTATGTTGTATTTCCTGTCCCAGAGATATCATGTGGGGATCCTCCATTACTGCCACACACTGGGCAAGTGTGCAGTGGCAGCTCCACCCCTGGAAGCACAGTGACTTACTACTGTAAAATAGGATTTTATCACAGTGAAGGAAATAATGTGTCATTGTGCACAGCTGATGGTCTCTGGACAAAGCCAAACATCTCGTGCAAAGGTAACAACTTGCTCCGTATTGTTAAAATACTGTCAGCACTGTGGTTGGTATTACTTTCTTCTTGTGTTGTCCACAGTCAAATAATAACCAGTTAAATGATGTCATTTCCATCCCTGTAGAGGTTCGATGTGGTGCGCCCCCACCCATCCCTCATTCAGTCATGCTGTGGGATAAAATTTCCACTGTGGGCTCTCAAGTTGTTTACCAGTGTAAATCTGGATATCGCAGTGTTGGAGAGGGAAATGTATCAGTCTGTTCTGCCAGTGGAGAATGGGATGAGGCCTCTCTGCTCTGTCAAGGTGATAATGACATTTATCTGCCCTGAAAGTCATTGAAACACTTTTAAGCTAAGACATGGGAATTGTGTCTAAACTTGCAACATTCGAACATCTATCAAACTACCCATAATGACTTGCTGTGTTTTTGTTATAGAAATCAACTGTCAGGAGCCTGTGTTTAAACCTCATTCTAAAACACTATGGGATGGCACATCGCACATTGGCAGCGTGGTGTATTACCAGTGTGATGAAGGATATCACACCAGGGGCCTGAGAAACTCCTCAGTATGTGGAGAGAATGGACAGTGGGAGGATATTGATCTATGGTGTGAAGGTGTTTGCAATGTTTGATCATAGATACACTGAAAAAAATACTGATTCTCTTTTTTTTATTCATTGATTTTTTTAACATTAGAATATTTGTAACCATATTTACAAATGCATGCAAAATTCATGTATCTGTGCATTGCTCCAATACTGAAAAGAAGAAGTAACCCAACATGAGAAAAGCATATTAATACAGCAAAAGTGATCTCCTCTTTGCAGCAGTCAGGATTTGAATGTGTGAATCCACAGTTTGTGCTAACTCATGTCTGTGTGCAGAAATAAGCTGCGGTCCCCCACTAATCCTCCCCCATACTAACCTCCTGTGGGACCACACCAGCAGACCGGGCAGCGTGGTATTGTATGAGTGTGTGGATGGATTTTACCTGGAGAGTGGAAATAATATGTCAGTGTGTTCAATATCAGGAGAGTGGGGGAAAATATCTGTGAAGTGCCAAGGTACAGTGATCATCCTTATACATGAGCATTCATCTATTCAACAGTTCAGTCATTATGTGTGATAATTCACGTCACTGATACGTTAAATACGTACTAAACGATAAATGCTCAGTGTTGTATGTGTGTTTTAGGGCAGACATGCAGATGTGTGATTTTATGCTTTGGGTTTCTCTCTGGGTGCTGCTGTTTTTGAGGTAATCAGTCATTTAGTGCCACTATATTTTTTTCAGCTAAATGTGGCCCGGTTCCCTTCCTTGCCAACTCAGAGGTGGTGTGGCATAAACGAAGTGTAGTGATCCACCGCTGTGTGGAGGGGTATCACAGCTGGAGGGGCAGTAATGTCTCTGTGTGTGGCGTCTCTGGGGTGTGGCAGGAAGCTACTTTGAGATGTATAGGTGAGTAAAAGAACATATGTAGGCTGATGTTCATTAAAAAATAAAATTAAATAAAAATAAAAGCTGCTGAATGGGTGTGATGCTTGTTTGCATTTAGAATGTATTTGTCAAGGGATGATATATTTAATGACAAATGATTGGTCACTCTTTTCATTCCTACATCTCTTACAGAAATAAAGCCACCTATCAATCACCTGAATATTCTCAATGAAAAATGTTTGCATTGGAAAGCAGAGAAGTACGAGGAGGATACAGAAGATTACAAGGTAACAGGAGATGTCATCATCCTTCTCTCACTGCAGCTGCTGTATTTATCTTTGAGGATTATTTCTACTTAATTGTCAGCATAGGGAAAAGGTGTTTTCAGTCATATTGTGATCCTGACTGATGCCACATTACATGTAACAATTCCAGGTGACGTACGTAGGATCCAGAGACTACCAGAGATCTTTTCATGATAAGAGGAAGCGGCTTCTGAGCTCCAAGGCCGACCAGCTGGAGCTCTGTCTCAACCTGCTTCCAGTCACAAACTACAGCATCTCCATCACTGCAGTATCTGCCAGATTCACAGCCACCATCACCACTAACACCAGTTTACCAGGTATCACTGTACCACCAACTCCCATTACTGCACTGCACTGGAAATGATATAATTATATATTATTTTTTCTTTATTTTGAGCAATCCACATTAAACACAATAACCTTTGACAGTACCTCCAGCACCAGTTGTTTACTACAGAGAATTTGAGACTCCAATACCAACTTTGAGGCTACGCAGATCAGCCAACACACTGGACCCAATAAGGTAACAACCAAGATGGCCCGGGACAGTATGTGACTCTTATATAGCAGGAAATGAAACAAATAGACAGTCATGCACCTTCATACTTTGAATCTAATGCACCTAATTTATAAAGCTGGTTCATAACATGTTCACACTGCTACACTGAACATGCTTGAATATCAAATCAGTCTCCAACCAGTTTTCATGGCTAAACTCAATGTCTCACTATGTCTCTATGACATTCACTGTTACACAAACACCACAGAAAAGCAGAGTTAGAGTTAGACTGGTAAATCAGCCAGGCATATCAGCTGGCATATTAATATATTGCATTTATCAGTGAATATGTCAGCTGATAACTAACAAGAAAAGTCAGTACAGAAAAGCCAGACTAGATTTGAGATCATTTAGAAACAGTATCACCTTTACACAGTTTGTCCACCACAGAGCACTGACAAGTTGATTTTTACACTGTAAAATGTTAAGTTTAATATGTATCCTCCTGGTCACAGTCCTTTAAAAACAGACCAAGGGATCCGTGTCCAGTTTGTGTGTTTATGTGTTTGTTTTAAAAAAATTTCCAATGATATATCATAAGTAGAATTTTTAAACTCACAAACATTGAAAAGAGTATCTTCCACAAAATCCAGTATCAGTTGATTCACATTCACCTCACGTTCATGCATGTGACACATTACCTTTATGTCACTCATGTGTTAACATATCTTTATTTATGACCATATGGATAGTAGCCTAATAATTTGTAAGTGAATATAAAGCCATTGAAAAGTGACATGATGATACTAATAAACCTATTATATTTCATTTTTTTCAGTTGTGATGTGCTGGCTTGATTACTTTACGTAAATGAGATCATAGTTTATCTAAATAATTATTCAAATGTTTATCCGACATTAATATGGACATTATATACTCAAGTTAAAATGTTTTACTGAGAATGTTCAAAATGATTTTTTTTTCTTTTGGCAGCTTGTACCAAGTGTTTGTGCTTCCTATAGAGGAGATCATGCTGTTTGATTGTTCCAGTCCTGGACGCCCAGACCCCTCAAGAAAAAGCAAATCCTCATCAGAGTACATAACTGCTCAGATCCGCCTCACACAGGTCGGGACAGAGATGAACTTTACTGTTGGGGATGGACTCTACTATGGAGGCTTCTATAATGCACCACTGGAGAATGGCAGGAACTATTATATCATCTTACGAGCTGTCAGTCACTGGAAAACAGTGGGTGAAATAATTATTATACAGCATAAAAATGTGTTGACTGGGAAACTGCAGCAGATTTATTAAAATATATGATTGTTTTCTCTCCTAGGCTTTAAAAAGTTCCTGTGTCCTGTGGGCTAAAATAGGAGGTAATTCACTGCCTAAATCACCCAACTGCTGTGGTGTAACACAGGAAAGTAATTTAAAATGCAAAACAATATAGAAAGTGCTTCAGTACAAACTACTCACATAAAACATGTCCTTGTTCCAGGTACGTCCTATGTCCTGAAGGTTTCATCGCTGTCAGCTGCTGCGTCAGTAGGACTGGTGGCCTTGGCCATTTTGGTTGGATACAGTTGCATCTGGTATGGAAGATACACAGTATACATTTCAGATAGTTAATTAATGAATCAGTGGTCTCATACTAATTCAAAGCTTAAATATATGTGTGATCAAATGATACCATTTATAATTTACATTATTAAACACAGGGCCAAGTAACAGATACAGTCATATGAAACAGATTACAGATCCAAGGGAAATTATTTACATTAAAATACAACTTTTCCAAAAGTGTTTATGACTGTTGGCAGTAGTTATAGATCACATTTCCATTTGTATTGGCTGATAAGGAAGAAAATACCCCTTTTGGGTAGTCGGGACTTTGACACCTGGGGCCGGTTTCACAAAGATAGACTTTGGCTGTGTCTTAGATACAGTATAACAGATAGTCAGACTTCAGATAAACGACTAAATTCATCCGTTGCACAAAGCAGTTTGGTTCTTGAATCTTAAATTGGACTGATGTGGTACAATGAATTCTGGGTAAATTAAGACCTTTTTTCAAACAAAAAAAAAAAGACTGACCAAGGAAGCACATCTCCATTTAACCCAGCAGAAAATGTTTGTCTTTTGGAAGAATTCAACGGTTAAAAGGATGTTTTACCTGGGAAATTCAGCAAAGAGTGAAACAATAAAATGAAAAATTAGGTTTCCAAAAAAAGGTTTTTCCTGTTTTTCGCTGTTCGGTGCTACTGGTCTGCACAAGTGTCATTCATTGTTACCATGGTGACATTGGTCTTAGGCCTGATTTAGTCTGGAGGTAAGGTGTCTAATTTTTCTGGCTTAAAATTTGTCAAACTGTTTTTGTATAAACAGTCTTACATGCATTAGTAATTTATGAGCAAAATTACAACTGGCCCAACACTAAAGACCAGTCTGAAATATCTTTGTGAAACCGGCCCCAGGGCTCTCAGGTGTTACACTGCAAGAGGTCTCTGAATGTAAATACCTTTGTTCTTACTTACTTTCTTTGATCCCAATTGTAATTGCATTCTGTCTGACCATGCCTGTAACCATTGATCAACCGTTGGAACTAAGGACTTGAGTTCATTTTCTTTAACATTGACAAAATAAAAAAAATGAAGTACAGTATTTAACAAAAGTAATTGATCAATGAATGTGGGTATTACAGTGGATTTGGTAACTGACTACAATTTTAAATAATAAGATAGATAGATTCTTTGTTGTCATTGCATATAAATACACAACGGAATTATGTTTTAGCATGTCACCAATTGGATAGAGCCTATAATGGATGACATTTGACTATAAACCTCCTAAAAGTAATACACCCACACAGCAAACACACAAAAATGTATAGTCCATGTCAAATACTGACCTAAAAATGACCTAAATATGGTTTAATAACTTGTTTGTTTCTGTCATTTTTTAGGTTTTTCAAGAGGACATGACACCCTTCAATGCTTGATGATCTATGAAATACATGTCTTGATTTTCTACTCATAATTTTGTACATTTTGTAAATAATAATAATAGTAAACCTTGTCTCTGCCTTTAGCAGCAATGCTGTCTGAAGTGCATCAATCTCTATGTGTGACATAAATCCTCCTCACTGCCTCACATACAACATGCGAGGCAGTAAGATCACATTTACACACATGGTTATGTCAGAGACAGTTTAGGCTTTGATATTAATAAAGAGCAGACCTGACCAAACTTAAACCTGAAGCTCCCTCCTCTCCCTTGGTCAGAGGTCCCACCTTGCATCAGTCTCCTGGCTCTGTCAGAGCTGGGTGAAGGGACAAACTTGTGTCAAACTGTGGACCTCCTGAAACCAACCAAACCAAACCAGTTCTGACAAAATTAAATCCTCTGCATGTCCCAGGGCTACTGAAGACCTCTAGGCCCCTTATATCATTCAGCTGCAGATTAATTAATGCGTAAATTAATCCATTAAATCAGGATGAGTCGTGTCTTAGTTATATATTTAGCCAACCTTTTTCAATTGTGATTAAAATTTAAAATTAAGTAATGTCTGTGTGATCCCTCAGCACTGGTCATTTGAATTATGAGGTATTTACACCTCAGTTTAAAGTCAATGTATCTCCTATAGACTGACAGACAAACTGTATTTTTTGAAGAGACTATTGTAATCATTTTTGGTCTTCATTAGATAGAACAAGGAATTTGTCATCAACACAAATCTCCAAGTAGAAATTACACATACTGCTCTTAAGATTACACAGGATGGTGAAGAGGTACAGTTTTCTTTGGAAATTAATGTTGAAATTACCACACGGAGAAACTGGCAAAGAGGGCTCTAAAAGTACTTGATAATAAAGTGATAAATGTAGCTTATGGTAGGGGAGAAGCAAACATGGCAGAAATAATGACATTCAGAAACTACTACTAGGCACTACTGGGGAGACATTACTAATAAAATTTTAAAAAAGAATCTGTTCATGTAAAGCAGCTCAAAGGAGTGGGGGGGGGGCATGAGAGGAGCATTTGTACTGGGCCTTTAAATGGGTTTTGCATCCGGAGCAGCGCGTTCATATCCACACAACACAGGTCAGTATCCTACCGATAACAAACCTTCTTTAACGGGTTTGTTTAGACGGGTTAACAGGTACAAAGCACTTATTACAGTGTCAACAACAGCAAAAACATACAGTAGCTAGTTGGTTAGCTACGGGGCTGTACGTTAGCAGATAGCCTGAGATGTTCGCTAAAGAGTGGGGGAGTAGGCCAAAGCGACATACGGAGGCGATTTGTAATTTACTGTTGACATGGGTACAGCTAACGTTAAGTATGGAGGGTCGCTTTGTACTATATAACTTTTCTATTGCTGTAGCCCACAGAGTAATACACAGGCTACACCTTTTCGTCCAGAGAGCCAATAATTAAATGTTACATTACCGGTAGTGCTAAGCTAGTTTTGAGGCGGCCATAGGTCAGTCAACTCGGACAGCGAAAACAAAAGTGGAAACCCCCGCTTATAATTAGACAGTTTACATGAACGTCTTGTTTATCTGCAAATCTTACCAACATTATATCTATTAAAGCTTATTTAACAATTTTATGTAATTCAATGTTGAGCTGTAAGCATTATTCAACGATATTTCGTCTTGTTAGCTCACGTTGCTCGGCAACGTCTCAGTGAGCCTGACTGGTCAACGCTAGTTTAGCGCCAGCAATAAAAGTTGATTTAATTAAATCATTTTTATTAACATTTGCTTGAGTTTATGAACGCCGAGCTGAGAATGGACAGCGACTTTCGTAAATAGGTGTATTGAAACATAAAGGTGTACAGCGGGCTTACTACAGACGCGCTTGTTTGTGTTAAATAAGCAGATTTTTGAATAGAGTCTGGTTGTATGAGCTCAGTCTCACCTGATCCATGAGAGCAGCACGCACTAGGTTTGATGAAGATTGGGTCATGGAGGTCATGACTGCGATTTACGCAGGTGGTGGTAGTTATATTAATTAGATCTTTGTCTTTAATTATAATCCGCTGTGTCTTTCTTCATGCAGAATGAAGAACTTTCACGCCTACGCGTTTAATGTGTGGAGGGACAACAGTTGTGTATTCTTATGCGAAATATTTTATGTTATGTTACTATTATGCTACTATTTCATTTTTTATTGTGAAGCACTTTGAGCTATATCTCTTCTATGAAAATTGCTTTATAAATGTAGTTTATTTTAATTATGTTATTATTATGTATTATAATAAATTGTCTGCTGATAGTTGATTCAAATTCATTTAATTCAAATTGACACAATTTATAGTGTACAGCCGTTTAGGAGAGATTATACAATCTGTATTTGTCCTAAACAGGTGCACAGCTGCTGCTGGTCTCCAGTTCACCATGGCCCAGAACCAGGTGATCCTGCAGTTCCGGTTCGCCACGTTTGGGGACTCCATGCTGCAGAAGATGAACCTTCTACGACACCAGAGACGGTTCTGTGATGTCACTGTGCGTATCAACCAGCTGGAGGTCCCTGGTCATAAGGTGGTGTTTGCTGCAGGCTCTTCTTTCTTGAGAGACCAGTTCATCCTTCAGCAGGACTCCAGGGAAGTCCAGATCTCCATGATTCAGGAGGCGGAGGTGGGACGGCAGCTGCTGCTGTCCTGCTACACAGGCCAGCTGGAGTTTCCAGAGCTGGAGCTGGTGCATTACCTGACAGTGGCCAGCTTCCTTCAAATGGGCCACATTGTGGAGCAGTGCACTCAGGCCCTCAGCAAGTTCATCAAACCTCAGGCTACACCTCACCTGAAGGTGGATGTGGATGTGGATGTGAGGAGGGAGAAGAAGGAGGAAGGTTCATCGTCCGAGGCCCAGAGAGAGCAAGAGCGCACTCAGATGCGGATGGTCCATCAGGAGGAGGAGGAGGAGGAGGAGGAGGAGGAAGAGGAGGAGGAGGAGGTGGATCAGGTAGAGGACGACAACAATGGTGACGGTGATGAAGACGAGGATGATGATGATGATGTGATCATACAGCCTAAGTCCCCTCTCCAGATTTTGAGCAGACGCCCAAGGCAGGGTATGGCAGAGAATGACATCACTATAGTAAAGGTGGAGTCTGTGTCTGAGGTAGCAGAAAATTCCATCACCAGCCACTTCCCCACCAGCCCGCCTGCTGCTCTCCACTCCCCTGAGCCACAGCATTCGCTCATCAACTCTACTGTGGACAGTCGCAGCAGTGAGATGGCGGTTCCACCTGGCATGGCCGGGTACCCGTTCACCCCCCCTCCTCCTTCCCCTCCTGCAGACAAACACAGCACGCACCAGAGGAACTACGACAAGCCTCTGCAGTGGTATCACCAGTGCCCAAAATGCGCCCGGGTCTTCCGCCAGCTGGAGAACTACGCCAACCACCTCAAGATGCACAAGCTCTTCATGTGCCTCCTGTGCGGAAAGACTTTCACACAAAAAGGCAATCTGCACCGACACATGCGCGTCCACGCTGGCATCAAGCCCTTCCAGTGTAAAATCTGCGGTAAGACCTTCACTCAGAAGTGTTCTTTGCTGGATCACCTTAACCTGCACAGTGGGGACAAGCCCCACCGCTGCAACTACTGTGACATGGTGTTCGCTCATAAGCCAGTTCTTCGCAAGCACCTCAAACAGATCCACGGGAAGAACAGCTTTGACAACGCAAACGAAGGCACCTTGCACGATGGGGGGCTTGACTTTGATTTTAGCCGAATATGAAATCAGTGGGCATTTTTTAAAATAGATTTGTTGGATACTATCAGTTATTTAAATGTTTATGATGCAGATTTTCCCCCGGATGAGACATCAGTGAAACGAGTCATCGTAAATTTAACACTTTATACAAAGATGGAGCATTAAGCCAACGATTACATTATAAAAGATGTGACGGCTGGTTTTCGAATGATGGCTTAAACTGGAGAACATAAACATGAAAGATGAAGTTTTCCTGATCTACATTTCACTGTAGCTTCATTACTGTGGACTTTTTTTCTTCTTTTTTTTATACAGTACATTGTAGATGCCTTCATATCATACTTGAAAATTTAGCACTGAATCACATACCATAATGACTGTGTATCATTACTTTTATTAACATATCTTTGTGTCTAATGTGTCCAATGAAAAAACATTGCAGAAATGAAACTATACAGTTGTATATTGTGTATACAGTCTACTGTAGTTTTCTGTCTTACCTGTGTGAATATGACAACAAGGACTCCATAAGTAAAAGAAACTTGAAAGAAGGTGGTTATAACAATATTTTATTGAAGGCAAGCTACACCAATGACAAATGGGATGCCAAAGTGTCTATGTGAACTGAACTGGCTCTTTTATATAGGCTTTATATCTGAGGTACTATTGGACTAAAGTGACATTGTATCTGTCCTCTGTTCCTGAAAGTTAATGTGCGTTATGAAATTAAATCTGACTTTTAACCTATGTTGGTTTCACACTCTTCATGTCGTTGCACACTTCTCTCCAACATACATGCTCATCAATATTTTGAAAATATAAATGATAACACTGCAGTCCTCATGTTAAATTGTGTAGTAATAAGACTTTAGTAAAAGAGATCTTTTAGTGTTTTCACTGTTATGGTGTTTTTTATTGACAATGCAGAAGAATAATGAGCATAAATGTTTGAGCTAATACCATCTTCAGTGTGGAGGCTTGGTTTTACAAGCTTTTTAATCAGTTAGAGTTTACAGTGTGAGTATCTGAAAGTGGCAGGTAAATGTGTGGTGAGTTGTTTTAACAAAGGTTTCATTGTGTTTGCTGCAGGGTATTCTCTGAGTATCGTCATTGCTACAGAGCAGTGCACTTTCTGCATGTTAAAGGGACAGCTTCACCCTCTTGTCACGCTCCTTTCACAACATGAAATCAGTAACTTGTGTCCTAAGTGGCACTATGTTATTGATTGTTAGTGACAGGTGATATCAACAACCCATGGTTAGGGCTGTGTGGCATGTTCCCTTCTCATCATGTATATGGTAACATGTAGCCTCTGTCCTCATCGTACACCAACTTAGATATTCAAATTGATGCCACACAGTATGCAGACAGTTCTTAACTAAACTTATTTTATGAAAGTGGAATTTATTATCTGTTTGTTATTTTACAACATCAGAAGTAAATATAAGTGACGATGTGCTGAAATAAGCCAAAATATCCAATTTACAGTTGTAGAACCTGACCAGATGTCATTAATATCTGCCCTACAATACCCAAGTACAATCTTCTTAGTGTGTGACTGATGCAGACCAGCTTTGTGCAAACTGACATTGTATCTGCACTGAATCATCTCTGACTCATTTATTAGTACAGTCTGAACTTACCAAGAAAATATACAGGGTTTTAACATACTTTATGTCCACAGTGCAGCACATTTAAAAAGAAGTCACATGTTCATGCAGTGACTATTATTTGAATACAATGATTTGAATAAGCTATGTCCACTTATCGTTATGACACAGTCCATCACTGGTGTGTGGTGCAGCGATGAGCACGTCTGCAGGCTGCTGCCAGGGCTGTCTGCATTATGTGTTTGATTATGAAACAACAAAAACACTGGTTATTCCAAGCATACGGTTAGGATGTGCATTCAGGTTCACGCAGCTGCTGGTGGTGCTGTATGTGGTGGGGTGAGTAACAAAAAAATCAGTGGCAGAACATTGTACTGGCTTGGTATTTGGTGAGATTTGAATGTGAAGCTAAACTAGTGAGGAACTATTGTTGTAAGTGTGTGGTGACCTGTGATCTGATTGCATTGTTAACGTATAATCCTACTGTAAACGTGCAGGTATGTGTGTGTGGTGCAGAAGGCCTACCAGGAGACGGACTCCGTCATCAGCAGTGTCACCACCAAAGTGAAAGGTTTTGCCTTAACCAATGCATCTGACATGGACCCCCGATTTTGGGACGTGGCTGACTACATTATCCCTCCTAAGGTATTATGTGTGTGTTTTACTACTGTATGACTTTGAGTATGTCACTGCCTTGTGACATTTGTGCTGCTCTTGTGTCTAACAGGGTGACCATTCCTTCTTTGTGATGACAAATATGGTTGTCACCCCAGAACAAACGCAGACACGTTGTCCTGAGGTGAGACATGGATGTGGTTTGTTGATTCACAATATGTCATCACAGTTTAGGTAAATGTGTAATGTATCTTTCAATATTGCTGCTAATTATTTCTTTTCGTTGCTGATTAATCTGTAAATTCTTGCATATCAAATACATATCAACGAGTAAGTTTGTTTCCAGAGCTCAAGGTTACATCTTTGAATTGCTCGTTTTGTCAAAACAATGATACAAACCCCGTTAATATCCTCGTGAGGATGATGTAATCCTCACACTTACAAAGCTAGAACCAACAAGTGTTTCTCTACCGTTCTGACGTGTCCATCGCTTTGTTCCTGGTCAATCAATAGGATTCATCCATTGGGGATGAATCCTATTGATTAATCAATATTATTAATAATATTGACTTTGGTGTTCCTCTGACTTTTCCTCTTGTGCCATCATGAGGTTTACATTTATGGTTTTGAGTGAAATGTCCTGACTGTTGGGAGCATTGTCATAAAATGTGGTACAGAGCCTAATTTTCCTTTTAGAACCATCATTAGATCAAGATTTGTCTTGCAAAACAAATGGCACTGCCTACTGATAGACTTAAATGGAAAAAAGCTATTGTTAATAGTATGAATTACACCTGTGCTTTTCCAGTTGTGACATGTGTCTTATCCATTATCAACTTTCTTGCTGATTTTTTTTTTTCAAATCAATGAATCCATGAATCATTTCAGAACTATGATTGTTTAAGCTTTTGAACCAGGTTTTTATGTGCTGGCATGGCCCAAGTCTCAGATTCACATTCAATGTCTTCAGTAACTTTAGTGACACATCTAAATGTTACATACATGCACACAGCCAGCGGGGTTACTACAGTTTTGGACGCTGATTAATGTGCTGACAGGTGACCATTTCTCTTCAAGCTTCCAAGTCCATCAACGATTTGCGCGGATGACTGTGACTGTACCGAGGGACACAGCGATCCTCGGGGCAATGGTAGGCCTTTGATCTATCAGCTTTAAATGCTAAAATGATTCAGGTAAATTTATGTCATACCATACACCAAACAGCAGCTGGCATTTATTCTCCACCCAGGTATACAATCAGGACTCTGTGTCAACTATTCCTCAACTGTCCAGACCTGCCAAGTGTTCTCATGGTGCCCTCTTGAAATAGATACTGAGCTGCCCCAGTAAGAATATATACAATGTTATCTTATTTATAAGTAAAGTACAGTACAATGTAGATCGTGGTTTGCTTGACATGTTGTTTCCCTGTCCCACAGACATGCACTTCTGGCTGCAGCAGAGAACTTTACCGTGTTAATCAAAAACAGCGTAACATACCCGAAGTTCAACTTTCACAGGTCAGTACAGTGCACTGTTTCCGAAGGTAAGAGATAGACATGGTAGAGAGCTGTCGGCTCTTATCAGTACAGTATATGCAAACATACAGTTTTATCGTGCGCGGTTATATCATGCATGTCTTCCTTCCTCCTCCAGAAGAAACATACTGCCACATATTAACTCCTCGTACCTGAAGAGGTGTCAGTTCAGCCGTGCGACAGACCCTGACTGCCCCATATTCCGCCTCAAAGACATTGTTTCTGAGGCTGGAGAGGAATTTCAAGACATGGCTGTGAAGGTACACCCACAACTAAATATAACAACCACTTTTCAAGATGTTCATTATTGTATCATGTAACCTTCCATACATGTTTATCTCTTATGTCCCTTGACTTCCAGTCGTCAGGTCTTTCACAAGTGATTACGGTGTTGGTTTGTCTGCACTCAAACACACGTTATTGTATTGTGTATAAAGCAGAGGTGGGGGACTTGAGTCGCATGACTTGACTCAAGTCAGACATAAGTCACAAATTAGAGGACTTGGAACTTGCTTGACTAAGAACTGGTAAAAGACTGCACTTGACTTTGACTTGGTCTTCATGACTTGACACTTGACTGATGACTCAAATGGACTTGACTTTTTTTTATTAAACATTTGCATTTTTCTAGATATTGATAAGTTACATTTTGTTTTTGAAACATGATCAGGTGATTTCTAGTGTGATGTCAACAAACCTGGCGACCTACAAGGAAGGACTTTTGAGGTAATCCTGCAGAAAAATAAACAGACAGTGTGAAAACATAACCTCCTTGGACGAGGAATGATAATGATAAGACTGATAATGATAACTGTAGCAGTGGGTGGCTGCTGTCACAGATCTGGACTCTGCCACAACATATGTAACATAAATATCAGTCAGATTGCAACAGTTTTCATTAATGTGGAACAAACTAAACTTTTCACGACCACTGTCTTTAACTGATTCAACTTAACAGGTTGATCATCAGAATATTTTGTAACTTTACTCGCTTGATGACTTGCTTGAGCTGAGCAGTGACTTGACTTGTCTTGCTTGACTTACAGCAGGGACTCGACTTGACTTTCTTGATTCTCATTACAGTAACTTGGATTTTCTTGAGACCTGAAGGTTAAGACTTGACTCTCTCTTGTTACTTGCACGAGTGTGACTTACTCCCACCTCCTTTATAAAGGGTGGCATCCTTGGCATTATTATTGACTGGAGCTGTGACCTGGACTGGTGGGCAGGGAAGTGTTACCCCAAGTACAGCTTCCACAGGCTGGACAACAAAAACCCTGTCAATAATGTGGCCCCTGGATACAACTTCAGGTAAAACTATTTCTGACACATCCTTATCATAAATGGATGGAGCTGACGAAACTGAAAAAAGTGAACATTGCTTTTAGGTTCGCCAAATATTACAAAGCTCCAGATGGAGAGGAAACCAGGACCTTAATCAAAGCATACGGGATCCGGTTTGACGTCATTGTATTTGGAACAGTGAGGACTGAATACATCTTGTGTTGCAACATCTTAATCTAAGTGTTTGTTCTCTTTGTATTGACAACACCTTGGGGGTGGTTCTTTTATCTTGCAGGCTGGGAAGTTTAGTATTGTACCAACTATAGTGAACTTGGGTGCAGCATTGTCATTCCTCAGTTTGGTGAGTAGACATGTTCAGTCCTGCAACATGGAGAAAAAAAACACACACAAAGTTTTCTGATGATACGCAGAATTTGAGTGTTTTAATTATTTTACCTCAGGTTCCCGTAGTTTCTGACTGGATCATGTTGACATGCACGAAGAAAAAAGATCTTTACGGCAAACTTAAAGCCACATATCTGAGTGAGGATGCTGAGGCTGAAGCAGTGAGTGACTAATCCTTCAGTTTCACATTAACACATACATACAGCACATACATACATTCCTCACTGGCAGTAATTCATATTAAATAGGATATTGATTAACTGTACTTTCTTAAGGTCAATCATTGTACTGATGCTTTCTATTTCTACAGATGTCAATGGGCACCTCCTATGGAACTCAGTAACATGGTCACAATGACATTTCTACAGCATGATCTGAACCTGCTCTAAAAAATTGTCCTCAGCATAATTTGAATTCTTCAATAAAATGGGTTAAATGTAAAATGTAAAGAATGAGTATGAGTAAGAAATGTTATAAGATTACAAATGGGTGATAAATTAAAGGAAAAACCTGAAAAATAAGTGGATGACAATGCATCTATCCATGGGTCATAAGGGGTCACTGAATGGTTTGTGTCAGAGCCCTTGAATAGAGATGATGAACATCATATGCTGTTGCTTTCACAGTCATCACATCTCAGCCCAACTCAACACTTATGGGAGATTTTGAAAGGCGACATGTTACACAGCGCTCTCTACCACCATCATCAAAACACCAAATGAGGGAATATGTTTAGGAAGAATAGTGTTCATCCCTACGATAGAGTTCAGAGAATCAATACCAAGGAGAACTGAAGCTAGTCTGGTGGCACATTTTTCTCTGCAGGTCCTCCTGCCTCCAGAGCCGTAGACTTTGGATCTGCAACTTCAAACCACCTACGGCGTCCATGATACAGTTTAACACCTGCTGCTAAATTTGCTAAATTTACTATAATTAATAATTATTATTATTACTGATATTAGCTTTCATTATTATTGCTGTTACTGCCATACTCACTATTATTAATATTACTATCATTGCATGTCATTGCATGGTCTTGTTCTTTTACTCTCTCTCTCTCTCTCTCTCTCTCTCTCTCTTTCTGCCAACCCAACCGGTCAAGGCAGATGGCAGCCCACCCTGAGTCCGGTTTTCTGCTCAAAGTTTCTGCCTCTTAAAAGGAAGTTTTTCTTTGCCACTGTCACCTGCTCTTGGTGTGAATTGTTGGGTCACTGTAAATAATATTTAAAGAGAAGTTCTAGACCTGCTCTATTTGGAAAGTGCCTTGAGATAACTTATGTTGTGAAATGGCGCTATACAAACGAACACTGACGTGATTTGACTGGACATGGTAGCCCAACACCTTAAGACACTATGGCTATGTTATTTTTTCCTTCAATTTGTCACCGCTCTGTATCCATATATGAAGTCTGAGTCCCAGACCGATGCCTCCCCCGCGCCGCACGGGGGCAGCACAGCTTCAGCTGACGACCAAACACAAGAGGCTTCTCAGTATGCTAGCAAACAACAGAGTCAGGCAGAGGAGCCCTTCAGATGGAAGCGCTGGCATAAAAACTTGCCAAAATTGAGTTTTTGTCATTTTTATCCTTTACTTGTTTAACTAACTAGTCGTTGTATGTCTAGTAGTGGTGCTTGTGGAGGAGCTAGCCTCGCTGTATCAGCAGCGAACCAGGAAACAGGCTAGTTAGTACTGTTAGCCTAACAGCTAAAGTTGCAGTTGGGCAGCTGGTTTCTTCTAGTTAGCCTCGATGAGGAAACCCAACCCAGCTTTCAATGCTGTAAACAAGACTGACCAGCTTGTCTGGAGTTAGCTAGTTGGCCGCTTGTCAAAGAAAGATTACAGCAGAATGACAGGTGAGTGACATGAACCGATGTTAACACCCATACTAACTGAGCTAACATAGTTTGCTTTTGTATAGCATCGTCAGTTTGCACTTTTAATAATGTTTGAGTTGTTTACAAAGAGTAATAATGACACCACGGGTTTTCTCAGAGGATGCCATCCTGTTGAATGTGCCTGTCATTCGGCAGCTGTACCACTGGGATTGTGGGTTAGCCTGCTCCAGGATGGTCCTGAAGTAAGTGCCCAGTAAAGTTGCTTACTTATTCAATCATAAAATATCGACCATTATGCATTATGTACTCAGCTAAATGTCCTCGTAATAATGAATCGTCTCTACACAAAACATATTGAAACTGTACCTTGTAGTAACACTGAACTGCCTTACATTTGTAAATGTTACAAGTGCAACAAGTGTGCACTGTAGTTAACTCAAAGGGATTCACGGACATCTTTTACTGTCTGATCATGCAGGTACCTCCACCCAGTCTGTGACGAGGAGTTTCAGAGAGCATGCTGGGAGCTGAAGCTGACAGAGAGTGTGTGGACTATTGACCTGGCCTACCTCATGTGCCATCTAGGAATCAGACACTGCTTTTGCACGCAGACTCTGGGCGTTGATAAGGGTTTTAGGAATCAGGTACATAGTCTTAGCTATCGGTACTGTCCTAATTTGAAGTTATTTGAATTTTTTTTTTAGGCCTGTGTGTGTGACAGTGTCTTTTTATTCTCTTGGTGTGGTTTGCAGTCCTTTTATAAGAAGCATTTTGATACAGAAGAAGACAGAGTGAATGAGCTCTTCCTCAAAGCAGAGAGCAAAGGTGTGGTGGTGAGGAAATGGTGAGTTTTCTGTTAATTATTATTCACTTGGAGAAGCCACCTGTTTTTGATTTACACAAAGTAAACCTAACGTTAAATGTATCTGTGTTTTTTTTTCTCTCTGTAGTTCCGTAACCGTTCAGGAAATCCAGTCTCATCTGGAGCAGGGCCACGTTGCCATAGTGCTGGTCAACGCTGTTGTCTTGACGTGTGAACTGTGCTCCTCACCTGTCAAATACTGCTGCTTCCTGCCCGTGGGTCAGAAGTGTTTCTGTAGGAAGCCAGAGTACCAAGGTCACTTTGTGGTCGTGTGTGGCTTCAACAGGACCACAGGCTGTATTTTCTACAACAACCCTGCGTATTCTGATAGTAAGTAATCTCATATATCCAAAGCACAAGCTGAATGTGGTATATGTATTTGAATAAAAAAAACAGATAAAGTAACAATGGGCTACAGGGAAAAAAATATTATGAAATTATAATACCAAGAGACAATGTCAGAAGTTAGGAGGTCGGGACACGGCATAATACCTGTTTCTCTTCTCTGTATTTAAAGAGATTAGTTGATAGACAGAGAATTAATTCCTAACAAAGTTAATAATCACTTAGAAGTCTTAAGTCATTTGTCAAGCAAAAATGCTTGTGGACATTTGTGGTTTCTAGTTTTGCAACTTTAAGGATTTCCTGCTTGTCTCTCTTTCATATGTTTATGCATTACACAACAATTTGACTTTTGAACTGTTGGTCATACAAAAAAAACAATAAATAAAGACTACTCCACACTGGGGCTCTGACAACTTGGAACAGACATTTTTGATTATTTCCACACATCTTATAGACTAAACAATTAACCAGTGAATAAAAAAACAATTCACACATTAATTTAAAATGAAAATAATTATGAGTTGTGGCCTTACATGAAAGCACATTTTAGTCCATTTTCGGTCAGCAGCTTCGAAGTCTTGATCTTGGCAGCAATGTAGACTGTTGAGTTGTGGATGTACTGGAAACCATTACTGAATTAATTCAAAGCAATAGTTTGTGGAATAAAATATTATCTAATAATATGTCTGTACCAAGTTTTGTGGCAATCCATCCAATAGTAGTTGAGATATTTAACTCAAAACACCAACCTTCACCAGTGTCAAGAGATCACCAAAGTTTGTAGGATTCATCATCTGGAAACAATGAATATTTGTATGAAATTTAATGGCTGTTCGGCCAATTGTTGTTGAGATATTTTTGGACCAAAGTGGTTTTGTAATCCCATGACTGATAGTTATGAGTAATGTGTTCAGTTTGGAACTGACAGGTGTGTTTATGTGTGTTTTTTAGGGGTGTGCTGCACCAGCGTCAGTAACTTTGAGGAGGCTCGGCGGAGCTATGGGACAGATGAGGATATCCTGTTCATCTTTAAGGAGAGTTGATGGACAGTGATGATGGATTTGGATTTCACTCTTCCTCAGCTCATCATTGTATTGATATCATGTTGCTGCAGGTCTCCAGTCCTGGACTGTCAGCAGATCCCCTGGACTATCCTCCCCTGGTGCTAATAAGCCCGACTGCTCACAGGAAAAAGATCTCTAACACTTGCTGCAGAATCACCGCTCTCTTATTCCCTCTTACACCGTCAGTACTACTTGACCCGTGATAGATTAACAGCGAGGATTCAAAATCTATTTATTTTTTTTATTTCCCTTTTTGACATGAGCAGATAGTTCAAATGAATTTTATTGTCTTTGTTGAATTTTAATGACTGCAGTTGCTCATAGATAGAATCTACTGAAATGTCAGACTTTGAGCAGAGGCTTTCAGACTTGTGAAACTACAGTGGATGAAATGTGGGAATCAAAACCTAGAATTACCAGGAAATAGTGTTCATGTAATTCAGGGCTGATGATGACGACAGTTTGTATAGAAAATGTAATTGTTCTGTTCAGTGTTGAAGTCTGACGGGATTCATCTGTAGTCACCGCCCTCACCTCCACTTGCCCTTGTAGGATTCCTCCTAACTCACCCCCTACTCACTTTTTATTCAGATGATTCAATCAACAGGGAAAACAGGAGTTGTAGTGGTTGTGCTTTGAGAGTCTCAGGTAATTAATGCCCTCAAGTGTGACATGCGCAACAAATGAAAAAACTAGTTCAATGCAATACTCCCATAGTCTGTCTATGGGTCTCAATCTGCCTGCAGAAGAACATGGATAGCGGATGGACACAATGAAACATGAACTCACCAGTTTCATTCACTTCACAGGGAAAACAAATGTCTCAACAGCTTGTGTCCATGGCAACATACTGGTGAGGTGAATGCATTGTTTGCTTGTTTTGATTATGTGGAAGGACAAAGGTGTAATTTTCTCTGTGGAAAGCAGTGAATACTAGCTAATTTACACATTGTCACTCAGTTTTATTTCTATTTTTGGTATTATGTATACGTTTTTGCACTACACTTTTCATACCAGACATAATTATGTGTTATTTAAATTGAACATTTTACCATGAAATTGCTTTTCTGAATCCATAAAAAGTGTTAATTCCTGGTTGTGCTTTTTGGTAAGACTAAACTGCACATTCGAAACCACAAACTTTATTTTTTATTAAACATAGATCTGCATTTATTATATGTTACAATTAAAGGATTTGAACACATGCTCCATCTTTGTCAGTTTTCCTGGCGCATGGATGTTTAATCAGGCATCACAGCAGTAAATCTCATTATTAAGGGAATAGAAACAGCTGCTCTTCATATGTCACTAGATTGATCATGTTAATTCTCCTTTC